TCCAGGTTGAATCTCTCCGTGGTCAGTTTCCATCCATTATTCCTTGTCTGGCCTTCAGGTGCCTTGGGAAATAGCTTGACCCCTTCCTCCTCTCTGTGGCAGCCCCTCAAATACTGGAAGACTGCTCTCATGTCTCCCCTGGTCCTTCTCTTCCCTAGACTAGCCCGGCCCAGTTCCTGCAACCGTTCTTCACATGTTTCGAGCCTCTAGTCCCCTCATCATCCTGGTTGCTCTTCTCTGCACTCTTTCCAGAGTCTCAATATCGTGTTTACAGTGTGGTGACCAAAACTGGATGCAGGACTCTAGCTGTGGTCTTACTAAGGGTTTATAGAATTGGAGAGGAAGAGAAGAAAGACCAGGGAAGACCTGATGGCAGTGTTCCAGTATCTCAGGGGTTGCCACAAAGAAGAGGAGAACGGGGTCCACCTGTCCTCCAAAGAACCTGAAGCAAAAACAAGAAGCAAAGGATGCAAACCGATCAAGGAAAGAAGCAACCTGGAACCAAGGAAGAATTTCATGTCAGTGCAGACCATTAGCCAATGGGTACGGTTTGCCTCCAGAATTAGTGGGTTCTCCATCGCTGGAGGTTTTCAAGATGAGACTGGACGGCTGTTTATTGGGGAGGGTAGAAGGTCTCTGGCTTGAGCAGTGACTTGGACTTAGAAGAGCTCCAAGGTCCCTTATTCTTATTCCAATCAGCAAAGATCATAACCCTCCTCAAACAGAACGGAGCACTCGGCACGGAGGACTTGGATCCCAAGTTCAGAGAAGGACCAGGAAGACAATCTTGGACCTTTGTTATGTGAGACCTTGCGCTGGAAAGGCACACGCAATTCACACAGTACTGGTTCACAAGTCACATCGTGCTAGTACACAAATGCAGCAATATTCTGATCTGGGATGCCATTCGTTGCCGGGGGGGGGTTTATGGGCAGAGCTGCACGTAAGCGCCAAAGTCTTAACCGCTGTCTCTGTCTTAAATGCAGAGGTTGTTTTAAGGGTCAAGGGATGTCCAACCTTGGCAACTTTAAGACTTCATAAATACATGTCCTGTTCTGACCAAGGCTTCCCAAGACCGTAATTAAGCACACGCTTAGTTAAAACAACTCTTGTTTTATTTCAACGCTGGGAATTATGTTTATTCCCAGCCTGTAATGAGTCCCAAACAGTTCCTCAAGATAAGCACCCACCTTTCTCTCCTTTGAATTGCTGCCAACAGCTAGAGAGCAAAATGAATTGTAAAAAAACCAACTGAAGTACAAAGTCCACACAGAGCTTCAAGGATTAATCCGAACAGAGCGAACGACTTTGCTTCCTGCAAAGGTTTCTCTACCTTTGCCTGTCCTTTATCCCTTATGGGAGGGGCAATCACCTCCCAGCCTTACTCCCGAGTCGCCCCTTTTGTCTCAGCTGCCCTTGCCTTCTGGAAGCTCTGCGCACACACGCACTGGGAACAGGCTCCCCTTGTTCCTCTGCCTCGCTGCTGCCAGACTCCGGAGGCTCCCGAGTCAGCACCCCACTCCCAGATGGTCCTGGCCCCATCTCTGCATCGGATGCAGGACCCTCGTCCGAGTCCTCTACAGAATCCCGGATGGATCCCTGTTCTTCCCATACTGTCCAATTCCGCTGCCATCTGCTTAGGCTGCCAGCGAATCACAACATGTCCATTATCCAACAAAAATAAAAAAAATATGCAATATATAAAAATTATAATTAAAAATAATTATTTAAAATGAAAACAAGAAACAAACTCAAAGGGCGGATTTGATGCACCACTTTTTGCTGCAGTCGGTTTTCTATCTCTCTATGACAAAGTTTGAGCAGTTCCACCTCTGTGATTTTTCACTGCAAATTCTGAGCGACCCCCCCCCCCCCCCAGTTATCCTGTTCCTCGGCCCAGCTATGCTTTTTCCAAAGGGGAAAAGCTTTCCAAGAATCTGGTTAACCGACTTGACAGTTAATTGATGGCAACAAAACGTCTGCCTCTTCAAAAGCGGAATTAAGGCCAGCTTAATTCCACAGAAGCTGGGAAAAGTCACGGCTCAGATGATAAATCCACCTGCCAGCCGGTGAGAGTTTAGCGGGGGCTGCCTGGATTTTCCGCCCTTCTTGTCTGAGAGGCTGGTTTGGAAGAGGGGAAGAGGATTCCAGCTCAGACATCCCAATGCTCAAGCCAGGAAATTGGAGCTCAGAGCCACCAGGGAGACGGGGCTGCCTTCTAGGCTACTGTGGGAATCTTGCCAGGGCCAAGCGGAACCACCAATTCATCTCCATTAAAGGATGAGGGAAGTGTCCAATTAGGGAAGGAGGGCAAATATCCATCCATCTTTCTCTCTCTCTCTCCCCCCTCCCTCTCCCCTTCTCCTATCTATCTATTAATCATCTATCCATCCTTCTATCTATCATCTGTCGATCATCTATCATCTATCTATCATCTAACTATCATCTATCATCTATCCATCTCCATCTATCATCTTCTATATCATCTATCTATCATCTAACTATCATCTATCATCTATCATTTATCATCTATCCAACTCCATCTATCATCTTCTATCTATCATCTATCATCTAACTATCATCTATCATCTATCCATCTCCATCTATCTATCATCTTCTATCTATCATCTATCATCTATCCATATCTATCTATCTATCTATCTATCTATCTATCTATCTATCTATCATCTATTATCTGTCTATCTATCTATCAATCTATCTATCCATCTCCATCCATCATCTATCTATCTATCTCTCTATCTCTCTATCTATCTATCTATCTATCTATCTATCTTCTATCAACTACCTCTATATCTATCTATCTATCTATCTATCTATCTATCTATCTATCTATTCTATAACTATCTATCTATCTATCTATCTCCATCTATCATCTATCCATCTCCATCTTTCTCTCTCTCTCTCTCTATCCATCTCCATCCATCTATCTATCATCTATCTATCTATTCATCTCCATCTATCTATCATCTATCCATTTCCATCTCTATCTCCATCTCCCTCCCTCTATCATCCACCATCTATCCATCTCTATCTATCATCTATCTATTATTATCTATCAATCTATCTATCCATCTCTATCCATCCATCCATCCATCATCCATCATCTATCTATCATCTATCCATCCACCCATCTAGCTAGCCAGATATCATCATTTTTTTTGTATACCACATAATAAAAAAAAACACACATTCCCAAACTATTCTCAACAAAGGCAGCCCACAACCGTTATAAAACTCTCTTTTGATTCCCTCAGAAGCATGAATTTTGCAATACTTTTACCAACTCAACTCAACAATCATGTAGCCAAAATATAAAATCTAGTACTTTTTAAGCAGACTTTCAACATATATTTTGCAATTGTACCCATTTTCAGCTGAGGAGGGTTGCTCCACAGCTTCTCACCTTCATTAGAGGGAAATTTGACAGAGACAAATGCAACGTAGACGGCTGATTAAATGGAGAGGACTAACCCACCACAGCCCCTTGCAGACCCTGGAATGGTAGGCCCCAGCCAAGCCTTTGGCCTGCATCAACTCAAGAAGAGCTTCCAAGTCATGGGAGCGAAACTACGCCCCTTGACTCTGGGTTGATGTTGGTTTTCTCAAACCACATGAAAAAAAACAAAAACCCCAATTCCGGACATCACAATTTGAGGGAGATTAAGACCGAAGAAGGTTCTGGAACCCTGAAACCAGGCCAGGACGAAATCTGACGGAAAGAGGTGGAGGGAACCGAGCGCACGTAAAATGGAGACCGGGACGATGAGGATGGCCATGATTGTGTGACTTGAAGGACCTGACCGAAAATGCCAGGGAACCCCTTTGGAGCTGTTTCAAGCATCTGCCGGGGACATTTACAGGGCATTGAGGTAGGGTCTCCTCTCAGGGGTCCCAAACAAAGGCTCCCGTTTTGGGGTCTTAGTCCTGTCCTCTGGAGCTTCCGTCCAAATTCAGCAGGAGGGGTTCTTCCATTGCGTGAAAACAGCAGGCTTTTCCAGCAAGCGCGCCCCCCTCTCCCCTCCCTCCAAGGCAGCAAAGGTTCAGGGATGGTGTCCCTCTGGTTTTGGTCGAGAAGGGGAAGGCAGGAGACGGAGGAAAGGGAAAAGAGAAGGGGGCCAACCCACTTGGGGGAGAGGGGGGCCCTCCCCATAGCCGATGGGTCCCACTCAGCATGCACACCCATGTCAGCCTTCGAAAGCGGTGGCACTGCATCATCGTGGCAGCCGGGACAAAGCGGGGTGTCTTTCATTGACAAAGATGGTTTAAATGAGAGAAAGGGCATCAGTCATCGCATCTCGGCTTCATTCAAGGCTTTCTCTCCTGAGCTGCCAAGAGGTGGCCCCTCTGCCTGGGACGCCCCACACGCAGACTGGCACAGCCTGCCTCCCCCCCCGTCCCCACAAAGGGCTCGACTGCTCCCATAGGAGCCTGCCAACCCCGAAGGCTGCCCACTCCCCACACCCCAACGGCCAACGTGTCCCTCCTGTCCACGGCTGGGGGCGTTCCTTCATGGAAGAGACCCTTTATGGGGGAGCCTGAGGGGGGCGGGGAGGCGTGCAAGGGAGACCAGTCCTCCCACCCCTTTCTCACACAGGCAACCGGAGGTGAAGGCTTCTCCCAAGCCACCTGGGTAGACGGAAGCCAAAGGGAGGAGGCCAACGGGCGTCTTCTGCCACCAGGTGGTAGAGCCACCACAACTCAGCGCATCCCGCCCGGGATCGCCGGCCCCGGTGGACAAGCAGGCCCACCCACCTCTGCCTTCTGTCCTTGGCACAAGAAAGCCAAACTGAGCGCTGAGAAATGGCGGCCGCCGACTGGAAGGGCTATTGAGAGGATCATGACGGAGAGGAAGACGGGGTCCCCTGGCCTGGCGCTCCAACCCTGCCCCTCCTCCTCCTCCTCCTTCCTCCCTGAAGACCTGACGGTCTTTAGTCACACATCTTAAAAGAAGCACAAAATGGAGCCGCACAAAGACCTACTTGTCTCAAGTCGATGAAGGCCAGAAGCAGCGTGTCCCCTTGGAACCCAGGCACCGGCCCGGATCTGGCAAACTCTGTGGGAAAGAAGAAGCGATGAAAAGCACTTTTAACTCACCATGGACAGGGAGATTGGCAGACGGATGACAGCGGAGACAACAGGGGCTGGTGGGGAGGGGAGCCCCACTTCTAAGGAGTCAGGTCCCCCTCCCTGACCGCTTTTTGTCCACCCTTCAAAATTCGTGTCATCAAAACGCCATTAATTCCCCCGTCCTGACAGCAAGGAAACTGTACTAATTTGACCTGAAATTTATTCCCATGAGCCTCGCATGAGCTTCGGAGTTATTTGTTTTGTGAACGGACAAACTATTTGCAAAAGGAGAAAAAGCGTTGGGGAGATGGGGAGGAAAATGGGGAGGGGGGGAGAAAATGGGGGCGAGAAAAACAAAACGAAACGAAAAAAAAAAAAAACCTTTTCCTCTCGACACAATAAAATCTTCAGCTGTGAAATCCTTTTCAGTTCCGAAAGCTATTTATATTTGGGGGGCACTCAAGGAATTTTCTAATTTCATGCCTGTCACCGTGATCCAGGCCCATTTGTCAAAAATAAATAAACCACGCCGCTCCATTAATTACGCTGCCGCAGAAGAATGTCTCAGAGCTGATATGACATCCTTAGACAAAGAACAAAAAAGGCGAAGAGCTTCCCTCCTTGTGGAGAATATCAATTATTTTGAAGGGGGCCGGTTTAGCAACGGCTGAGAAGAAGAATGAGCACGGAGGGAAAAGGGTCTTCAGGGGAAGAGAGGGCCTGGCCTGTGGGGGAATCTCTGCCTAAACCAGATAGCCGGGGTTTAGTTGGGCAAGCCAGCCTTCCCCATCCTATGCTGACCAGGAACTAGACGAGTTAAGAGTAAGCTAGAAACGTCGGAACTATTTGTTTAGGGAGACCAGGATTTGGGTATGAGGAGAAGTGTGGAGAAGTGAAGGACTCCACTTCTACTGTGGAGAAGTGAAGGACTAACGCAGGGGTCCCCAACCACCGGGCCCCGGACCGGTACCGGTCCCTGGATCATTTTGTACCAGGCCGCCTATTTTGCTCAGGTGCCGCCATCTTGTTTTGAAAGTGCTTCCGGGTGAGCTTGTGGGTTGTCAGTTGGGAAGCGGCGTTTGGGTGCTGAAGGAATCCTCGCGCCTTAGTTTCGTCGAAGACGGGGGGGCAGCTTCGAATGAAGAGCCGTCCCGATGGCGGTGGAGTCTCGCGTTACTCAGGAGGAGATTAAGAAAGAGCCCAAAAAGCCCATCGACCGCGAGAAGGTACAAAGGAGGAGTTGAAGGTGGCGGGGAGAAGCGGGGGACGGCTGGCTGGCCGGTCGCTCGGCTCGCCTTGCCTTGGTCGTGCGTGCTGATGCCGGTACCAGTCCGTGGGTCGGTCTGTGGATTGTACCGGTCCGTGGTACAAAAAAGGTTGGGGACCACTGGACTTACGGAGACATCATAGCAGTATTCCAGTATTTGAGTGGCTGCCCCAAAGAAGAGGGAGTCAAGCTATTCTCCAAAGCACCATAAGGCAAGACAAGAAGCAATGGATGGAAACTAAGCAAGGAGAGAAGCAACCTGGAATTAAGGAGAAACTTCCTAACAATGAGGACTATTAACCAGTGGAACAAACGGCCTTCAGAAGTTGTGGGTGCTTCGTCAAGAGTTTTTAAGAAGAGACTGGACAGTCACTTATCTGAAACGGCATAGGGTCTGCTGATCAAGCAGGGGGTTGGACTAGAAGACCTCCAAGGTGCCTTCCAGCTCTCTTCTGACACAACTAGAATCTATGGAGCACATTGGGGGAAAAGCTGGTTGAAACTCAGCAACACAGAGAAGTGGAAGATGGGAGCCAAGGTCTTCCAGAACTGGCCTGCTGTGAGAAAATGCCGCCATCTTCATCTATCTCATTTCATCCGGAAGCTCTTTCTTCCAGAAATGCTCTCTGGTTAGCAAACAGGCCATCAGGGAAGGCGCTCGTTTTACTGGCCAAATGAGTTTCTGGCCGCGTGAGTCTCCAGCATCCTCAAGTCAAGAGGCTGAAGAAATGCACAAAGTAGTAGTCAAGAGTTGCCTCACTTTAAAAGACCCCGCGTGTCCTAGAGGCCAACTGGGCAAGGCAACTTTGTAAGAAAGGCCAATAGGACATGGAAGAGCCGATAAAGAGTTCACCTTTCCGGCAGCCCCCTCAAGGTCTCACAACAATGGGCCCTTCACGACAGAAGAGACATTTGTGGAGCCCACCTTGACTTGTTCAGCTACTCATTGGAAACCAGCCACTGCGATTGTTCCATTATGGACACTTAAACTCCAGTCAAACTTTAGGTAAACGTAAAGATTCCTCTCGCAACTACGCGCTAGTTGGTTCCAGGTCTAGAGGGCGATGCTCATCTCCATTACAAAGCCAAAGAGCCAGCTGTCCAAAGACGTCTCCGTGGTCATGTGGCCGGCATGACTAAACACCGAAGGCGCACGGAACTCTGTTATCTTCCCACCAAAGGGGTCCCTATTTTTCTACTTGCATTTTTTTTTAAACGTGCTTTCGAACTGCTAGGTTGGCAGAAGCTGGGACAAGTGATGGGAGCGCACTCCGTTACATGGCGCTAGGGATTCGAACCACCGACCTTTCCGATCGACAAGCTCAGCACCTTAGCCGCTGAGTCAGCGCGTCTCTTCATCAACGTTTAACGGAAGACTAACGTTATTGATTTGGCTGCCCAACTCTCTTCCGCCTAAAGGAGCTTCAAGGGATGTTGCAGGCCCAAGTTCCCGTCCCACCTTAAGACGCCAGGACAGCTGGGTTACCTTGACCCAGGTACCTTCTCTCAGCCCGAGGAAGAAGACCGCAGGGGCAAAAACTGTCCCAAAATGGCGGGGAATGAGTCCAAGCCGCCACGAGGGGTCAACGCCGATTCAAAGGCTCCCATCCCAAACAAAAGCAGCAGACACGCAGCCGGGGGGTGGAAGGGATAGTGCAGCACCCCTGGAAAAGCCTTGCATGCAGTTCAACTCTCTAGAACCGAAGAAGCTTCTTAGATGAGAAGTGACATGTCTTCAAAGGGAAAGGGAAAAAAAAAAAACCACGCAAGCCTTTTGGAAAAAGCACCTTTGGGACAATGCAGCTAATTCAGAGTTACATGGCAAATGCCGGGGACAACTACTGGAACAGGAAATATTGGCCAGGGCATTTCAGTAGCTCTGAGTTCCTCCCCCAAGCCCCCCCCCCTCTTTCCCCCCATTAGCAGTCCCTGGGGCTCTGTGCTTCTAGCTAGGGTGACCAGTTGAACGGCCAGAGGGAAGCTCCCGCCAATTCAAGGCAGGGCAGGGCAAGGCCCCCTTGCCCATCTCAACTGGAGCAAGACCTCCTTGCTATCCTGCTTTGCAGACCTTTCCAATGTTATCAGCCAAATAAGACATGAAAGTACACCGGGTTTGAGCTTTGCCCCTTGCCTAAGAAAAGGAAGGACGTGCCTGAGCCCACCCACCCCCACTCAATTTGACCTGCAAAGAAGGCGAAAGACACCCCAAGAAATGTCTGTTGGCCACAGGCAGGATTTTTCTTTTGGCTTTAATGCTCACGGAGAAAATCTACAGCGTATCAACCAAAGGGCAGAATAACAGACTTGGAAGGCCTCCTACTCCAACCCCACTTGCTCAAGGACCTCGTTCATGCAACCGGTAGTCCAATCTCCGCTTAAAAATCACCAGCGATGCAGCACCCACAATTTCCAGAGGCAAATCGTTCCGCTGCTCGAGTGTTCCCGCCGACAGGAAATTCCTCCTTAATTCTAAGTTGGATCTCTCTTTAAAAACCTTAAGAATCTTGAAAAATCTTTAGAGGGTCCAGTCGTGAGCTGTTCTTTCCACGACAGCCAGATGTGCTGAGTGTCTGACCCTAAATAACTCTTGGCTGAACTTTCCCCAGACTGCTTTTCGGGTGGCGCTTCGGTGACTTTCTCTGCGGCTTAATTGGGAGGTTATTTTTCTGGAACTAGAACTGTCCTCTTGGGGTTATAATTGGAGGAAAGTTTCTTGACCGTGGCAGGCAAAATAATATCACCATCCACCCATCTTCAGATCATCCTTTGCGTTCGAATGACTGATTCATGAAGATCCTGCCCAAAGGGCCAAACGGTGCTTTTTTTTCAAAAGACAACTAGACTTTCTTGGGGGCTTTTTTTCCCCCCTTGAAACTTGTGGGAAGAAGCTTCTTGGATGAGAAGTGAAATGTTTTAAAGGCAAAAAACAAGAAGGCCCAGTTGCCTTCTGGGAAAAGACCCTTTGGAGCAACCATGACTTGGATGATCGAGACTCTCCATAGATGTATGTATGGTCCAAAGCTTAAATGCTGAGAATTTCGGTATTTAGCCTCATAACTGGAATGGTTCTAGCTAAGCCACAAAGTCTACCAAGTCTAGTGATCTTCCAGGCTACAGTTGGAATGATGATCGGTCCCAGAAACAAGCCAGGATTGCCTACCTTCCTCTTCCTTTTTCCTCTCCTTCCCTCCCTCCTCCCTCCTCCTTCTCCTTTGTCATACAGTATATGCCTGTTCTTCTTCTGATATTTTTTTCCATTTAGTGTTCTGTGAGCCTCCCAGCCTCGCGCAGCACCAAATGGAACAGAATAAATAAAAATACGATCCCACCTCCTCCTTCTCCTCCTCCTGGAAAAAAAAAAACCCATACAATTTATCTTAAGCAGGTCCGTCCAGGTTTATGCAATTAATTTATTTATATACTGATGCAATCTCCGTGGACTCCTGGCAGTTTACATCAGTTCAAAACAATAATAAACAAAATTGAAACTCCAAAACTACCAAACATTCATCAGACAAGGAACAGATGGAACCACTCAGCGCCCTCCAAATGCCTTTGGGTTCAGTCCAGCTTTTACTAGGGTCCAAAGGCCCTCTGGGTGGGCACCAGCCCAGCCACAGAGGCAGCCATTCCAAAAGGCTGGGAGAGACCAGGTGCCTGCCTCTGCCGCCTTCGTCTCCTTGCAGTGGAGAACCTGGGTGCCTGGATTCTACCTGGAG